TTGCAAGATATCTCTGCGGGCTTTAAACATATTTAAATGTATTTCTAAACTTTTCATTCACTTGCATAAGTATTAATGTAGGGCTTCTGAAGGAATGGCAGAGTTAAAAATTGTTTTTTCTTCCCTTAGACTGAAGATTTATTTCCATATCCTTGGCCTGTAAGGGGGGAAGTGGGGAAGCACATGTTTAAGATGCAGTGCTTATTTGTAACTCTTTAAGGGGGCTCTGGCAGCATATGGCATATAAGAAGTGACTCATGCAATATCTTTGAAAAAGAGTGATTGCTTTTTCATAAGAGTCTTCATTTTAATATGTTTAAAATGTTAAACATATTGCAAATGTTATTTCACAAATAAGAGAATATACATCCAAAGGAAGAAATGGAGGCACACAGAGGCAGCCAGATCTAGGAACAAAATACTAGATTTTTTTTTTTTTTTTTTTTGAGACAGAGTCTCGCTCTGTCGCCCAGGCTGGAGCGCTGTGGCCGGATCTCAGCTCACTGCAAGCTCTGCCTCCCGGGTTCCTGCCATTCTCCTGCCTCAGCCTCCCGAGTAGCTGGGACTACAGGTGCCCGCCACCTCGCCCGGCTAGTTTTTTGTATTTTTTAGTAGAGACGGGGTTTCACTGTGTTAGCCAGGATGGTCTCGATCTCCTGACCTCCTGATCCGCCAGTCTTGGCCTCCCAAAGTGCTGGGATTACAGGCTTGAGCCACCGCGCCCGGCCAAAATACTAGATTTCTAAAACTTGCTTCTCTTCACTGAATTTTAACTCTTTAAATGTTTTTATCACTAGTAAAATGTTTTCATGGCACTTATGATGATAGTATTTCCTTAGTGAATAAAGCTATAGGATAACCTATTAAAGCAGATAATATTCAGACTCATTTTATATTGCCCTAGAGACTTTATTTAAAATCCATTAAATAATTTTCTAGGAAATATTCTGCATAATCTCACCTTTCTGCCTTTCTCTTCCATCTGGAATCAGGTGCCATAACTGTCTATCGCAGCCCTGCCTATTCTTCAAACCCCACGTTCTCCAACTCTCTTTAGGCCTCTCCACATTTTTACAACTGCTTGTTCGCACCTTTAGCATAGCTCATTCTGAAGAGAAACTTGTATACATGCCAATTTATCTTTCTTAGAGAGCTGGGACCAAATCTGGAGATTTTTTTTTCTGTTTTGTTTTGATTTTAAAATTCCAATCCATACTTCCTCCCAGAACCTAGCATATCATTCCATGATGGCAGGGAGTTGGTTTTATTCATCTGTGAACAACTTAGAGAAATGCATCATGCCTATTATAGAGGGCTGTCAATTATGCTTATTCTATGAATGGCAGACACCTGACAATACTCACCAGAAACAGAAGAGCTCTAGCTTTTGCTGGTAAATTAAGTCCCATAACCACAAATTGTATTTGTCAGCACTCAGACATACTATAGTCACAATACCAAAAGACAGAGGAAAATCTAGTATAATAAAAACCAATATCCAAGTAGTTGGCCAAATGTTTTACTATCCATTGTGATCTTTTTTTTCTTTTTTCTTCTTCTTATTTTATTTTATTTTTTTTGAGACGGAATTTCCCTCTTGTTGCCCAGGTTGGAGTGCAATGGTGCGATCTTAACTCGCTGCAACCTCCGCCTCCCGGGTACAAGTATTCTCCTGCCTCAGCCTCCCGAGTAGCTGGGATTACAGGCATGTGCCATCACACCTGCCTAATTTTGTATTTTTAGTAGAGACGGAGTTTCTCTGTGTTGGTCAGGCTGGTCTTGAACTCCTGACCTCAGGTGATCCGCCTGCCTCAGTCTCCCAAAGTGCTGGGATTACAGGTTGAGCCACCACGCCCAGCCCTGCATTATGATTTTCTAAATAGACATGGATACACACTTTTCCTTTTAGAAGAATACAGAACATTTTTATGCCTTATTGACTTGCTTAAAAACTTTATTAGGAAGAATTCTTACCATTCTAAACAAATCTTATTTTGCTAAAATTTATTCATCTGTCCAGATTGATAACAGCCTTGCGGGGGTTGCGGGGACAAAGAGAAAGAATGAACATACATTAAATATTTGATACCACAGTATATTGGACAGGGGTGGAAAAAAAGTGAGAAATCTCTGATTTTTATTCAAATTTTTCAATGCTAGCTAGTATTGTGCTTTTATGTACTTATATACAAATTATGTGTAGCAATTTGACAAAATTTATTGTCAGACTTCTAAAAATGCTCTTTTTCTTTGCAACACGAGAAGCTAACATAACTAACCAATAGTTTAGATGACTTGGAAAGACTACAAAGATAGCAAGAGGGAAACTGCCAGAATCTGTAACATTTTAAAAGTTGATCACTCAGTATTGGATTTTCATTGTCACAAAAGTCTTGATACTATACTTGAGGGTTTTCTGACTTGATGCAAGTTTAAACTGAAGTGTTTCATTGTTCAGCACCTCAGTTTGGCAAAATATATTGTATCAGATAACCCCTTAACTCAAGCTGCCCTATATTTTAAAAGAAAAAACACCTAAAAACTGATGAGTAACACAGGAAAGAAGGGAAGAAAAGAGAGGAGAAAGAATAAAAATGAAGGATAGGGAAGAGGGACAAGAAAGAAAGAAGGAAAAAGAGAAGGGGAAGAGAGAGAAGGAAGGGAAGGAAGGACAGAAGGAAGGAAGGAGGAAGGGAAGAAAACCTGTTTTGAACAGCTGTTAAAGACACACATGAACAAAATGAATGAGATTGGTAATATAAGAAATTATAAAATTTCAAAGAATATCTAAACAAACATAGCTATCAGTATAAGATACCTTATTTTTGCATTTCCTAATTTGCACATGAGTAGAGGAGACACTAGAAGTTTGTATTTGGTGACTTGAACATTAACCTGCACATTAAAATAAACAATCTTCAGTCTAATGTTATGTTTTTGTAGAAAAACTTTAGTACAAAAAAAGGTTATACTATGTCATTATTGATACCAGAACCGTTGCTTTTCTTTTTCTGTACAGTTTTTCATTTTGTCTAATGCTAACAAGTTTAACTAGATTTTTCTGGCTGCCAGAATAATTCAAGGGCAAAAGCATTAATTTAAGTATATATAAAATGACTAATTTTATTTTATATAATTTAAGAAATAAAAAATAAGAATTTCCATATTAACATCCACACTGCCCGCATTACATATTTAAAGCAATATAATTAGAAACCTAAGAAGAATAAAATAATGTCATCTATCTGTAATTCTTGATTTCTGTAATGTTTAGATAGGTTACATTAATGTCAAGTTAACTAATCCTTTTACTATTATTCCGAGAGTATTTTGCAAACCATTTTTTTTTAACACAAAAAGTAAAAGCCGAAGAGAACAAAAGTAGGTCTATATAACTTTGCTTATCCAGACTTGTTAAGATGTTAAAAGATTTAAAAAGTTTTTTAAAATTGAAGGGAAACCTAAAACTCAAGAGCTTTATCAATGGCATATTCTCAAATAATTTCTTAATATGCAGAACCTGCTTCTAAAGTCTTATGCTATATTTTATTTTGAAATATAGAATCATGTTTTTGTATACATGGTTTAAATTCCAGGTAGTTATTTAATTTATATAGAGCTTCCCATGTTTAACTTTTGGAAATTAAAACTGTCAGTGCTGAAAGAACATTTAAGCATATATATAGAAAGAAAAACAATAACTGGTAAAATTCACTTTTAAGTAAATAGAATTATTTTCAGTCATGTCTTTTAAGTTTTTAATTTGTGAGATATAAAATCTTTGCTCTCTAATACAAAATCTTGATCTTCAGGGATATAGAACACAAAAGCAATTCAAAAGCCTATTACTACAGGTCAATCACTTGAAACAGAAGCTACAAAATCTGAGTTGGTATCTCAGTTCTTCCATTTATTAGCTCAATCACAGTGTGCAATCACAGGTAAAATGGGATTGATGAGTTTTGTTTATCTTATAACAGTATTCTAAGGATTAAACAAAATTATGATTTAAAAAGTGCTTTGTAAGCTACAGGGCATTAAGTGAATGAAAACTTTTTAAATAAGAATTTTATCTAAGTGAGAAGCTATGATTTATGCAAGATATTCTTATCATTGACTTTTGTATCTAAGCCTAGTACCACTTTGGAATCATCGATTTAACCAACAGTAAGTAGAGAGTCTTTCTGGTCACCTCTCTGACAGATTAACAACCTGGAAAAAAAATGATCTACAGTTTGAGCTGTATTAGGGGGACAGTGTAATCACTAGGACAATTCTTAATACAAAGAGAGTGGAAATGTGATTCTGAAGAAGGGAAATATCAAAGGTACTCTTTATCAAGAGTGAAACTTTGAAATCCATCTATTTAAGATTAATCACTATTCTTTTAGTTAAGCTGTTGTCATCTCTAACTTCCCCTGAGTAGAAAATAATCTACACTTCCAACTAAGTTATTCATGGTCCAATTTGTTCTCAGAATACTATAATAGGCTTTGTGAAGATAAGTTTTATAATAGGGATTTAACATAGTGAGAAGCCAAGACACAGAGGCCTTCAAACACAAAGAGTATATATATATATAAACTGCTCTGTCCTTTCCCCCTCTTCTTCTACCCTCCCCATTCCCTCTCCCAAAAGGATATTCACCCCTACTTAAAAATCTAATTTTTACAAAGGATTCAGATGAAATGGCATCTCAACAACTTCACAGTACAATTGGTTTAGCCACTGCAGTGTTGCTTTTGAAGCCATTTTCAACAGAGCTGGGAAAAGGGGAGAACTCTGAGTAAAGCACTGGAAGAAGAAACACTGTGAATGGTTTTAAGAAAGAAAAACATTCATAATCTTTCCTCTTGGCAGTTCTGTCTTCTTGATGGCCACATTTACATACTGAGTTCATAGGCTAGAACTCTCAAAGAGAACTCTACTTTCCTAGAGAAAATAAAACATTCAGGGTGGCATCCTGGGGGGGGGGGAAAGGAAAAGGAAATAATCACTGATGATTCATACATATCATATTTATTTTCCAAGTTTCTGATATCTTAAACTGTTGAAAATACATAAAGTTATTCAGAGACACTATTTTTTTGTTTTATTCCTCTTTACCTCTATGAGATGTAACTCTCTATATTTATAATTTTTCTCTCATTTTTATCCAAATGAGTGTATTGGCTTATTGCTTTACAAAGTAGAAATGTACTTTGAGTGCAACAAGTTTATCTTTATTCCACACTGTTGGGTTTTTTAAAGGTTCTTTATTTTTCCATTTTAAACACTTCAAAACACACATGCAAAATTTTAGTATTTAAAATATTAGAAACTCCTTACCTGTTAATGTGTTTTAATAACTAGTTTGCCTTTTCTGAACATATTACATTCCTGCTGTACCTATTTTGTAGCAAGTATGCCTATCTTATTTGCATATTTGTAACAAAGTATGCAAAGAGATAAAGATATGTGACTTATTTATATTCAAAACTGACTAGAAAACTCTACAAGTCACAGGAATTCTGTAACAGATATGTATTTAAAACTTTTTCTAACAAAGATTTTTAAAAATTGCTTTTTAATGTGCTTTTAATGATTCCTAGCACTCACACCTCCTTACTTGCTTTCCAAACTGTTTATACTGTCCCCAATAACACTCAGTGGAAAGCTGTCATTCCTGGCTAAATCCTTACTTAGGGTGGATGCTATGCCTCCGTGAGACAGGGTCAGGGGGTCAAAATCGATTTTGGAGGCCACCTGGAGAGTCCAGGCCATGAACTGACTCGAAAAATTTATATCAGAGCCAGAATGGTCCACCTCCCAGGGTCAGATCTGGCCTGACACTCCAACCGCAGGCTGGGGCATGCTAGACCGAGCTCAGAGAGAGGCCAGGGTTGTTGACCCTGCCAGCTGACCTCTTCAAACTTCAGGAGAATTTTTTTGGCAGTTACCACGGTGACTGGGTACTCTAAAAGCTTATCCTTCTTACTGAATGGAGGGAAAAAAATTAGGAAAAAAATATGTTAAAACCTACCTTGCAGAGATGCCTATCATGGTTAAAGTAAAAAAAAAAAAAAAAAAAAAAAAGATGGGGAGTGGGGAAGGGAAGGGAGGTTATGGCCTAAATTGTCTATGCCTTTGGTATTAATCACTACTGCTTTCCAAAAAAGAAAAAAAAAATTAGAATTTACAAGTCTTTCAAACTGCAAAACTTGACATTTGGAGCAGATACTACTTTTTTTTGTTTCTTTTTTCTTCTCTTTTTTGGTCAATAGCTGGCAACAATGTGAACAATGCATTAAAGTACTCTTTAAAACAATGCAATTTACTTGGAAATTCTAATATCTCCACTTTTCTTTGAGAATAATCAACTTTGAAATAAGATTCATCATAAATGTTAGTCTATTAGAGAAAAGATGCTGTAAATAATCATTTTGCCTCAAAATCATGCTCAATATTTTTTTTTTCCTGAAAGAAAAGTGCCCAATTTTGCTTGACTTGAAATAATTAAATTAGGAGAAAAGCAAGAGTCTATTAGTATATATTTTATCTTTTACCAAATGACTTAATAAAAATAATGTATACATTAAAAACAACAAACGAAAATACTCTATGTATAATAAGAGAACACCAGGAAGAAAAAATTACCACGTGTACTTTATTTTAGAGTAATGAACATTAAAGCTAAAAAAGCCATAGAATATTCTTCTATGTTAATACCAAATGTTGTCTTGTCCTAAAGTCTCACAACAATAGAAATACTTGCATATAAAAATTTTAATTCCCCATGGGGTAAATTTATGCACATTATAAAACTATTAGTTGATTTTTGTTGATAGGTTGTAATACAAAATGCTTTCAAATGGCTCCTATATGTGGCTTGAAATTAGATGAGAATCATAATAATTTAGAAGTATGATATACTTGAGTCATAATAATACTTGCTTTTAAAAATATCTGAGTACTACACAATGACTTTTTGTAAAATGAAATCATTGACTTTTATTGTTATTGCTCTATACCTCTTACTTCATTTTCTCATCTACTACTTACATGATCCAGGTCCTAGAAGTCTTGAAAGGACCTCCTCTACCATTTGGGTGCTGGCTCTGTGTGTGTCTGTGGGTGTGTGTATGTATAAATAATAAAGCATGGGTGAGGGGAGGGTGGATTTGCATTTTAGAAAGGAGTGGCTATATGAAAAAACAATGTCTTTGATTCAAATATCATTTTTCATATAATATAGTAATTGATGCTTCAAAAGTGAATACTAAAATTTCAGAGGAATGTTTTAACCTAATCTTAAATGTTCATTTTGCTATGACCTATTTTGACTGTTTTGTAATAATCATTAAGTTCCTACAATGGAATGAACATAAAACCAAGTATTTATTAACTAATCTTAATTTGTTTTTTTTTTTTTTTTTGAGATGGAGTCTTGCTCTGTCACCCAGGCTGGAGTGCAGTGGCCAGATCTCAGCTCACTGCAAGCTCCGCCTCCCGGGTTTACGCCATTCTCCTGCCTCAGCCTCCCGAGTGGCTGGGACTACAGGCGCCCGCCACCTCGCCGGGCTAGTTTTTTGTGTTTTTTAGTAGAGACGGGGTTTCACCGTGTTAGCCAGGATGGTCTCGATCTCCTGACCTCCTGATCCGCCCGTCTCGGCCTCCCAAAGTGCTGGGATTACAGGCTTGAGCCACCGCGCCCGGCCACTAATTAATCTTAATTTTTAAAAGCAATATGTAATTCAGGAATCATTTCCTTTCTCCTCTTGTGCTCCAAACAGCCACTGAAAGGCAAGGTCAGAGACATAGTTTGAGATGATCTTGCCATGCGATCCAATTACACTTTGCTAAAACACAGTTCTTTCAATTAGATAGTGCGGTTCTTGACATTTTGAAGTGGACAACCAGGTTGGTGAGTCACTTAAACTGTGGTGCCAGCTCACTGTCTATGATGAACTCGAACTGTCCTTCCCAGCTGGGAACTCTTGGCAAGCTTCCTTAAAGACCCAGTGGCTGGCAAAGCATGAGGAACTATCACACAGAGAATGAGGTCCTCCTTGGGTTTTGAAAACCGATGATAGAAGTCTTAGAATGATGCAAGCCAGGTCACAATCTCCTAAACCACGAGCCTTATCTTGAATGAAACATTATTTCTAAGTTGGATCTGAAAAGGAAAAAAAGTTAAAGTATAAGGCAATGGTTCATTTGTACAAAAGAAAACAATGTCAAGTCTCTTAGCTTGGTTTCCTCCAGTCCAGTTCAGAATCTCTCCCAGAGAAGAACAAAAATCATTTTTTCAGTCTTTTGCATACATTTTTACTAAAAGGACTATGAAATAAGTAAGTATTTTATTCAGAAATTTATGGATCTGGCTCTTCTCTTAGGTTGAAAATTCACAAATATGTTACAAAAGTACAGAATGTGGGGGCTGAAGAATCTAAGAGATTGTCTAGTCTCATGTTTTTACTTTACATATGCAAAATCTGAAGGCCAGAAGCATGAACTGCCTTACACACAAAATACTAGTTAGATGCCTGAACTAGAACCTAGATCCTGGCTGGCATTTCTAACCTAGTATCTTCTCTACTATAATATGTAGTCTTTTCACTAGGGTAGAGAATATTAAAAGCCCGTACTAGTAGACATATTCAAAGCCTTTAAGACAGAGTCATTCTGGGGCAAGGATATAAAATGATTGCAAATGATTCAAATTTCACTTCCAGGAAACAACTTTAGGTACCACATAAGCAGAAATGTGCTATTGGAAACTTCAAATTTCTCAGGAACTTATGTCTTATGGTAACAAGGGCATGTTGTTAATATTATTTCTCCAGCTAATTGTTTTTATTGATCTGTTGTGGTTAATAAGCACTGACTAGTTTCTGTAGGTATGGAGTCCCCATTCTACCAGGTTTGTAATTAAGTAACAAGAAGTGGGGCTTTGGTGTTGGTCTGTCTCTGCTACCAGTATTATGAAAAAGTCTATCCAAATAACCATGAGCTACGTAAGATAGGAGGGCTGCCAGTCCAGGAAGGCTTGATCTAGTTTTTCTTTAACATTACTCTAATTTACTTCAGGTTTAACTTATATCTATTAGGATCAATGGATCTTAAAAATGAAGTTAAAAAAAAAAGACGGTATAAAAATGTGCAATTAATTGCTGATACCCCAAACTGTGACTTGTCTACTGCATTCAGTTGTAATGGTACTTTTTTTTTCTTTTTTTTTTTTTTTTTAGTCACTGTCTAGCTCTGTTGCCCAGGCTGGAGTGTAGTGGTGTGATTTTGGCTCGCTGCAGCCTCTGCTTCCTGGGTTCAAGCAATTCTCCTCACTCAGCCTCCCAAGTAGCTAGGATTACAGGTGCATGCCACCATGCCCAACTAATTCTTGTATTTGTAGTAGAGACGAGGTTTCTCCATGTTGGTCAGGCTGGTCTTAAACTCTTGTCCTCAGGTGATCCACCTGCCTTGGCCTCCCAAAGTGTTGGGATTACAGGTGTGATCCACCACACCCGGCCTTGTAATAGTACTCTCTATTAGTGTATTTCTAGTGCTGTCTCAAAGTTCCCTTTCTAACTTCTCATGGCATTTCGAAAAAATCGTGATTTAATTCTGAAAATTTACTGGGGGACTCCAAAAGAGAAAAGGGTAAGGAATGAGAATTTGAGAAGAGAAGGAAAAGTACTAGGTATGCTGAGGGGCCAATCAGTGGCTCTCTAGGGAAGGAGGGGGGTGTTTAACAAGATAGTTATACGTGATTCAGAGGTGAAGGCAAGAGTAGTCAGGTAGTCCTTAACTCCCATCTAGAATTTCAAAGAAATGCCGTTTCCTTTCCATAGATTCAAGAGGGTATTTATTAGTTAAGGGAGGCATATTTTGGTACTAATCACATGTTAAATTTTGGGAGCAGGGAATAAGAAACTCCTCTGAGGGTGAGTCTGAATAGCATTTGCTGGGCAACCTTCACTCAAAATGTGCAGATGAGGCACAGCTACCTAGGCTGTACATTCACATGTATTTTTCCATTTCTCAAAATATTTTAGTTGTCTTGCCTTAGCCCAATAGAAGACTTCCCCACCCAAAGGAAAAAGAGGTGTTAAGGAAAGCTTCTTGGTAGAAGGGAACTTTCAGATATACAAATCTTTTTTTCTTTTTCTTTTTGTTTAGACCGAGTCTCACTCTGTAGCCCAGGCTAGAGTGCAGTGGTGCGATCTCGGCTCACTGCAACTCCACCTCCCGGGTTCAAGCGATTCTCCTGCCTCAGCCTCCTGAGTAGCTCGGACTACAGGCATGCACCACCACACCCAGCTGATTTTTGTATTTTTAGTAGAGATGGGGTTTCACCATGTTGGCCAGGCTGGTCTCAAACTCCTGACCTTAAGTGATCCACCTGCCTTGGCCTCCCAGAGTGCTGGGATTACAGGCGTGAGCCACTGAGCCCGGCCTATTTTTCTTTTTAGAATCAAGGTTTGAGAAGTCGGTGAGCTGAGCAGAAAAGAAAATGAGGAATTATGAGATTAAAGTATGAGAACTTTCCCCTAGGTTTGTACTTGAGCTCCACCCCAGGACCAGGAAGGCTGTACTTCAGGAGCAACGCTAATTAAGGGAAGAGCTCTGGTCTTATCCACTTCTTGGCCCACCTTAAAACTTTCCCAGAGCTGTTCCTGCAGTGTTCCATTCTAGACACTCTCCACAGGACTATTGTGAGAAGGGCACAGCCTCCGGCAACCTGACCAGCATCTACTTGCTGCCAAAGCACTGCCACTGGAAAGGAGGCCCACCCTTTTGGCATCCTTCATAGGCCCCTTAGGAAATTGTTAAAGACAGAAACTTTGAAATTGAATTTTAATGATTGTCAGGAAATAAGGGTGAGGTACGGCAGCTGCTCCGGAGCAGCTGTCCCAGCTGCCCTATCCAAGGGACAGGCCTGCTTTTTGGCCACCATCTTCCCCTACCCCCGATGAGAGGAAGGGAAGAGGTTGGACCAAAAGGTAAAGGTTTCAACTTTGAGGGCGCTGATTCAGGACCCATATCCACAAACAGAAAACTAAAAAGCAAACAAACAAAACAAAGCAAAAGACTTACAACTTCAGAGTCTCAGTTCCAGGCTGCCCAAGTGAATTGTAGGTCCAAGACATTAACTTTTGTAAAGGATAAGGGGGTGGCTGGGCAGAATATGGAGGACCCCCTACTTCTTTTTTCTTTTTTTTTTTTTTTGAGACAGAGTCTTGCTCTGTCGCCCAGGCTGGGGTGCAGTGGCCAGATCTCAGTTCACTGCAAGCTCTGCCTCCCGGGTTTAGACCATTCTCCTGCCTCAGCCTCCCGAGTAGCTGGGACTACAGGCGCCCGCCACCTCGCCCGGCTAGTTTTTTTTTTTTGTATTTTTTAGTAGAGACGGGGTTTCACCGTGTTAGCCAGGATGGTCTCGATCTCCTGACCTCGTGATCCACCCGTCTCGGCCTCCCAAAGTGCTGGGATTACAGGCTTGAGCCACCGCGCCCGGCCAGGACCCCCTACTTCTTATACATAATCGCTCACCAGGGAAAGCACAGCCACAAAGAGGGCTGTGAAGGGCCCCAGGGAGAATGGGAGAGCTTGTAGAAAGAACCAGTTTCTCTTCTGGATCCAAATGGTCTGTGCTTTGGGGTGACTACAGTTGGATTAATGCTCTGTTTCCTTCTGTCTGCCTGGGCTGTGTCTAAATGAAAAGCAGACCATAGCATAATGCTGTCCCATCACCACTTTTCTAATCCCAAAACTCAAGTGCCTGAGAGTGAAACTTCACAAAAAAGTTATTGCCAGCAACAAATTCAGGCTGACAAATTGTCAATAATCACACCTTCGACATGCTGGATGACTTTCAGGCAATAAATAAGCAGGTGCAAGAAGAGCTGCTGGCTGGGTGGGCAAGGTGCAGGCCACAGCCTAGGCTGCAGTTTTCCCAATGTGTCCCCCCACAACAAGGGAATGCCTTCAGTGTTAGGACTGCAGGGCGCCTGCTTGCTTGCTCTAGCTCTTGCTCCCTTTCTTCCTGTCACTAACATAAACTGCACAGAGGAGCTTCTCTCTTCCCTCTCCTCCAGTTAACCCTTCTGGGTTTGTGTTTCTATGGTCTCAAGCACCCTTGATTTACAGTCACATTACCCAGGTTTGCTTTTGATTGAAATCCTGGGCCCCTGGAATGTATTAGACATCTAGTTACTTCCATATACCTGTACATTTTCTGTGACAGATAAAGAATTAACAATATAAAAAATAACATTTTTACCTGTGAATGCATTTGAAAAATGAATGCATATTATATCAGTTAAGAACTTAAGACACATCTGAAAGACATCTTTCAAGGTGTTTGCAGGTTAGTGCTTCTATAATCAACCACATCTCTCTGTCCTCCAGCACACACACAGTCACAAGAGTGCTTTTTGATTTGTCTTTCCTGTTTTAGACTCACTTCGTGCTTTAAATTTAGGAGCAATTTTAAACACATACATGGATCCAAATATGCATTTATTATATAAGATATGATTTCTTGCCTAGTTTACAAATCCAGTTACCCGATCGTAACACTTCAAATTATATTATTAGTCACAGCCCTCCTAGGAGGTTGATTTAACTACAGAAGTTTGGGTTCAAAATTTAATTCACACTTCCATTTCCTCTAACTTGAATTTTGATTTCTGCATTTAAATACAACACAGCACTTGAATTAAGGGTCTTCTTGTTACACTGGAGGCTTTTCAAATTTCTCTAAACTCTATAGATGAACTGCATTGTCACATAATCGATAGGAAAATCTCAGCTGTCACAGATCCTAAGCAACCCTCTGCCACAGAAATAACACGATCTGGCATTTCTGAGTTTGAAAATGTGCTGTTTGGATGACATGAGACCAGAACCACCCAGACGGCTTTAAATATTGTGGTCTCTAAGAACTGCTGAGGACTGACCTGCTGAGAATGACTGAAATACTTCCAATAGGCTTTTCTCCTGGTTAGAGACCAAGTGTTGCTTTTTTTTTCTTCCATAAATAAGTAATGCAAGAGCCAGCGTATTGGTATCTGAGATTTAAAGCTATTTCTAGGCTCAACTAAGTTTGCTGCCATACAGTTTATATCAGAATTTCAAATTAAGTGTTTCCTTCCCCAAACCAATAAGCAATTCAGG